TGAGGCCTGTTCGACATTTGTAACGAAATACAAAAATAATGTTCATTTTTTCAATTATAACAATGTAATAAAAAGTAAAACTAAACTGATGATTATTTTTCCACGATATTTTTTGCAAGCTTTATGAATTAATTATGATTCTTTTAAACAAAACGATTGCTTAAACTAACAATATAAATATTTATAATAAATATATGACAGTTATCAAGTGAAAACGTTTTTAAAATGGTATTTTTCTTAATCAATGTGAATAAATCTAATCATGTCACATAGCCGTTATCCTTTTATAAGGAGGTTAAGTATGTTTTAAAAATGTATATTAGAAGTATATACCACTTATCCTTAATCAACATTTTTAATATTATAAAACTAAACACTTATTCGTAACAGTAAATGGGTAACAATTCTGGGTTATACTTTATTTTGTTTTGAAACTTTAGTTTTTAAATCGTCAATAGAGTTACCTACCTACCTACCTATTTCCTTTTTGCACGTAATACGAAAAAAATCGAATGTTAGTTTGAATGTAAAAACTATTATTTATGCATATTATATAGACTATAAGAGAGTGGTTAAAAATACAAAACTATATTCATGATCATTACCATAAATTATTTTAAATAGCTTACATCTTTTAACATTTAAAGTTTAAACTGTTTGTTGTAAAGTAAAAAGACTTCTTACGTATTATTGAGAATACATCTAACCTATAACGGTGTGTTAATACTATGCCGATAACACGTCAGGTGTATACAGTATACCTGTATTATAGCATATGTACCTGTACCTGTAACATATTATATTCGAGTATATTGAACGCAAAACATTTTAATTACCTAACGATATTATTCCACGGTCCAATTAACGGTAAACCTTTTTTTATTCATAATGAAATATCATTATGATTCCCACACTGGCCACACTTCAATCGAATATCCGATGATTAGAACGCCAATTAAACGAAATATTGTGCATTATACACATAAGTACTTATACCCATAACGAGCTGATTTATATGTTTAAAAAAAACATAACTACTTTCTAGTTTCTATAACACAATTATAAATTAAAATAATCATTACCTATGTATAGGATTTTATTATATATAAAGCATATATAAACTGTGTAACCTAAATAATTTAATATTATATTATACCTATATACTTATCATTAATATTATTTCCAATGTATAGTTTTTCATAACCATGTCTATTCAAAAATTGTATGTAATATATACACAATCATAAAACATTAATCAACACTGACCGGATATAAACCGCAATACATCAACAAAGTTTGAAAATCGAAAAAAATGTATTTTATTCAAATGGCTTCTTTGACCTTTAACCTAACGATAGAATTATCGGCAACGTGAACCCCTGCACTTGCATACAATGAAATCGATCTAACAGAGCACCGAGGCAATCCCTTATGCTTGTCCCTGAATGTTACATAGAATAAAACATTATCAAAAGGGCCTTTAAATGCTTACTTCACTAAAAATTCATCGTGTCTATAACGTGCATGTAAACGTGTATTTAAGTGTCAAGTTTTTTTTTAAGTAAATGATAAAAAAATATTCAAGTTTTTTGGATTACCTACTCGTTTTTATTGGAGATTTATTAAAACATTTAAAGCAGTTGCAAATAAAATAAGTGATTTTATTTGGTGTTATTCATATATGTGAATCAAATAAAACTGGCTTGGTATTTATTACTAAATTCGTAATATTTACTGAAACTCGTTTGAACATAAAATGTATTCTTCTTCGTTTCTTGAAACTGTTTGTGCGTAGGTACAACCTTTATTATAATTATCAAAATTATTAGTGTTCAAACTTCAAAGGAAATTCGCTGGGGTACATTTTTAGTAGAAGCAAGAAAAAAACATTTAAATTTATGACTAATACTAAATAGTAGTAATACTACTGTTAGTTATATTAGCATATGTATACTACATAAGTAAAACAATTTGTTACTTACAAAAGCATAAAATGAGCCAATTTTAGTGTCAAAAATGTTAGTATATGTTAATAAGCATTTTTATTGTTATTATAGCGTTTTACTTAATAGACGATAATGTTAATTCATGTTATGCCAAAAAATATTAAGTTAGTAAAAAAAGTTAGTTTTACTCGAAACGCTAGAAAGACGTTTTTAATTCCATTAACAAATTACAAAAAAAAAACATTAATATTTTTATGAATGAAACTATTTAATAGTTTGAATGTAATAAAAATGCGAATATTTAATTAAATGTGTAAGTGTTTTTAATATTAAGTTTTCACTACGAAATACGAATACTCAATGATCAATTAAAAAAATTATGAAAAATACATTTAAATGTCAAGGGATAGGTATGAAATATTCATCGAAAGAATAACATGTCGTACAAACATCGCGGCCACTATAACCGCTGTAACCATATTTATATATAAACACATTACGAACTGCATTTTATTCCGAAAAACACGCGATTTTAGCTTTGAACTACGAATTTATGACGTAGGTCGGTTGGTATACAGTATTATACACTATGCATGATACATCATAATACAACCTAATCTACGCAACATAATATGTTCGTTGTCCGCGATCGCTGCGGTAGCAATGGTATCATGATACACGCGATAGTTATAACTACCTATATTAAAATTTGCAATGTGTACCTATTATAATCTGTAATCATTATAGCCTATATAGGGACGAAATCAACTGTACCGATACACAGTCGGTTAACCGCTTTTTCTTTGCTGTAGCGCTCATATAGCGTATAGGTAACACATAATAGTCCTCCGCGGTTTATGGTCCGACGATCAATCGTGTTACGAATAATACAGCGTGCATTTATGCCAAAGCGCACGCGACCGATATACATGTGTATTATGGTATATAATTCATAATATATCTCTATGCCTACCGTAAATTGCATTATTATACCTATAGTACCAACGGACTTCCTGAAAATATAAATTTGTTGCATCATTAAAAACGTATTTATCTCAGCCGTCGACGTGAGTATAATAACAACAATAGGTATGCTACACGAAAACTGTTATAATAATAATAAAATAATATATTATAACTTATACCCATAAGCGCAGCTGAAATGCACGGGGCTATGTCGACCTATGAAAAACAATAAAACACCATGCCCGCTGTTATACAGGAAGAGGTGGTTTATTATATTCAGCATTAGGATCAGCGCTGCATGGGTGTACGGGTATACCACACATACCTATAATCGGAATATGCCCAAGAAAGGCGTAATCTGAGTGATATATGGAGGGTGGACATTTCTCCCTATTTGTTATTTTATTGGAGATCAAAGGCTATGGGTGGTTATTCAAAGTTATGTTAAAAAGGATTTATTGGACTATCTGATCGTCTTACCCCCTCTTCTATAATTGTACAAGATCTTCAAAACATTACTTTACCATTCCGAGAACCGCAGTGTCTTTATTATGTATATTTATCGTTGTACGTGGTGGTTTGATAAACAAAAATAATCTCATCAAAACGTTCTGGATGATATCGCTCACCTCGAAAATAAATTAAACGTAGAGTTTGTGAACGCAACGTTACGCAACCCAGAGACCAAATTATACTCGGACATGCAATCATAACAAGCCGGCAGCGGTATAATAGACCGATTTCCTGGATAGGTATTTGACAAAACGTTATAATAACACATATTATTACATAGACGTAGTCTTAATCAGAAAAAAAAACGGGAATGTAACCTCGGGTATGCGACACTATATGGTGTAATATGTAAAACCAGTAAAATCACTGAAATATAATGTATACTTATACGGCTATTAGGTATACATATACAATAATCAATAAACATATTGGTGTATACATGTATATTTTAGCTGCTGTATTTACTATAGTTAATATGCGTAGATTTTATTATACGCTATACCGATATAATGATAGGGTTCAACTTTTAAAGGCACTTATTCCTGGCACGCATTTTTTAGGCACATACACAAATGTTTGAATAAATACTTGGGTTTTGATTAATAAATACACTATTCCGTAATTGTAAATACTAATCAAATAATAATAATAATAAAAATAAATCGGTGCACTATGGTTGTAGCATATATGTCACTGAGAATAAAAATATTATACACTGACGCAATCGCACTCGTTAATATAGTAAATCAGTTATCACGTTCTATCATCCAAATAATAGTAATGTCTAAAACACGATGTTTAAAATTGCAATAGCGAAAGAATAGGAGACGTACTCTGGTTCAGACGTAATAAATAATAACGTTTTATACAATTTATTTTAGTTTAAACTCAAAAATGTACAATGTGTAGGTCCCTATACGCACTGCTTATTAAGTTACTATTTTAATTCTTAAGTAAATAATACGAAAATGAAAATCACTCAATCAACAGCTATTTGCGTTGGAGCCGTCTTAGATATAAAAAATGCAATTGAAGATATAAAATAACATAAAAAGCTATAAAATCTTCATCGATAATATTTTGCTTTTAAAATCATAAATCAGCAATCATGTATATAATATATATATTACGATGTTTTATATCTGTGGTTAGGCGCATGTATCTGTCCTGGCCGCCAATCACTTTCTTATAATGCGTGGGTGTCCCGGTCTCCGGAGACCCGGGTCACGTATATCACCTACCCTCCCGGCCAAAAAATAATAAATAAATCCAAACCGAGTAAAAACGAAATATCGGGAATTTTCAACGGACTCGCGAATAAATGATGTAAAATAATACACACGGTATAATAAGTGACGGGAGGGACGATCGCCGAAAGCAGTCACAGCGACGAATCGCCGTACCAGATGGTACCCAGAAGTCTACGTACCGCGGGCGCGAGGTGGTACCCATCCGCTGCACGGTCGCAACACAAGTAATCACAAACACGGTAGGTACACATAATACGGCCGACTGGTAACAGTCATAAAAACGACGTCAAAAACAGTGTTCACAACACTGCAGGACTTCACTTACCCAGGGTGATGGGCAGCTCCCGCCATCTAGTCTTTTTGCCCTTCTTGCCCATTACCACCGACGACGGTTACGGCGCGCGTGGATGACCGGCACGGTATCGCTCTGCTCTGCCCGCGGACGGTTGATCGCCCGCTGCCAGTGGCGTGTCCGCTACCCGAGTTTCCCAGCACAACACTACACTGCAGGTAATACGTACGGTATCACGCGTATGGTATTACAGTGCACTCCGTTGCTCGAGTGTAGCTCGGTATGATATCCGATCGGGCGTAGCCGTAAGCCGGCAGCAGCCACGGCACGCTGCGCTCTCAGCGAGACGTAATTGTTGTGGTTTTTGTTGGTGTTGTTGTTGTTTTTGTTGTTGTTGTGCTGCTATTGTCTTTATTATTTATATTAAAAGTCTGTTTTTTCGGTGTGGCGGTCGGGACGGGCGGCGCGACGCACACGGACGGAACCGCGGTAGAGACGACGCACAGCTGTATCGGTGGCCGTTGCGGCGGCGACGGCGGCGGCGGTGATGCGCGAGCGAGTGAGAGAGGCAGAGACGGTGTGCGCGCGCGACGACCGGTGCGACTGGCAATCGAGCGGCTCCGAACGGAGAATCGGACGCGATTATCAACGGGAGGAACGCCACTGCTGCCACTGCCGCCGCAGTCGCTGCCATCGCCGTCGTCGACGCCGACACCGCCGTCGCCGCCAGTCTCGGTAGTCGACATAGGCGCGGCGGAAGGGGCGCTCCGGCGGAGGCGGGCGACACGCCGCACAGCGCAAACTCGTTGCGTGCGGGTCGTCGTCGCGGATAGCCCCGCCGAATAATGGTTTTTGTTTCCTTCTTTCGGAGGCGACCCGCCGCCGAAACGATCTACTTGCGCGACCAAAGTATATATTCGTCGTTTCACCACCGTGGCACCACCACCACCCCACGTAAGAACCGTCATCTCCAACCTGCTCCAACACACGACGATTAATGCTTTATGTACACAATTTTTTTATTTCAATCGCGTGTTGTTGTTGCCCTGGTTGTTGTTGTTGTTGTTGTTGTTGTTGTTGTGGTTGTCGGTGGTGTTGTTGTTATCGTCGTCGAAGTGCGACGTATATACATATCATTAGCCCCACTGCCTTTGCGTGTGACGGATACCACTAAAGTTTAGTCTAAGGGTTAGATACCCCTAATACAGACCGGTGACATTTTCCACACAACACACCCGTCAAAGTCGTGTTGAATCGTTCTGTATATGAGATAATAATATTGGTATGGTTCTTTACACCTGTATTAGACCTATCTTTTGACTCGGTACCTATACAAAAAAAACACATTATACAGAAAGATTCACCAAGCATTTTGTACCATTTTTAATACATTTATTTAAATTCAATTTTTTTAAATATTTAAATATTACACATAAGACCATATTTTAAAATATTTTATATGTTTTGTACTACTTACAGAGTGTTCTGCGGGTATACAAACTTCTGTAGAATCTCCCCATTTTTAATTAAAATTAATTAGTGGATAATTATTGTTTTGAAAATGTTTATGTACCTAGTTCAAAATTCGGACACAAGTTGTTTCTGAATAAATTATTAAAATAACTATAGTACGTATAATAGCCCATATTATAATATATAGTTTAATGGTTTTGAAACATGAAATATATATAATATTGGATTTAGTATGTAGTATACTGGGACTATTTCAACAAATTATAATTGTTAATAGATTAATATTAATTACTACAATATTTTAAAGTTACCATAGCCCCTATATCTTCCACACCAATTATCCTTATACATTGGTACACAAAGTATTACAACTCAAAAACGGCTCGTTTGAATTTTGATTACGATTCGTCATAATTTTCAGAAAAATTATTGGCTAAATAATTTACAGTGGAAAAGCGGGGTTCTCAAATGAAAAAAAGAAGTTTGTATTTTCACATGACGATCCTTAAGTAGTACACGAATCTCAAAAGTTTGAAAGTATAATTTTTATGCAGGTATGTTTGAAAATTCCAAAAATCAGATTTTGAATAATTGCATTATTGAAGAAAAAAGTGGGTGAGCATTCTTGGTGAATCACCCTGTACATATTGATGAATATTATTGTACTAGCGAGTCGTGAGCGGTATAATTAATAGGCAAAACATTAAACCCGAACCGACAGAGCACAATGAATATATTAAAAGGTCATAAGGGGATGAGTAGATTATTGAACATATTTTGCTGATATGATACATTATCATGTCATCATTGTTCGCAATGTGTATAATTTAAATTTTCAATAAAGTAACCAATGATAATCGTGGTTGAAATTCGTTCATTTAATAATTACTATCATCACAAATTTTCCCGAATCAGTGTCCGTTGGGATGTGTGGCCGGTTGTCTATGATTTTTGTACCACTTAATACCATACCTAACCACCTCCGAGTTTGTACTACAGCACGTAAAATAAAAATAAAATACGTTTACATATATTGCACATGTTGATATATTTTATATTATAGGAGTATATTGCTGACGATTGGTTGTGGTTGTGGAGGGGGAGAGCCACAAGATGTAGGCGTACAAAAAAAAAGCCAAGAAAGTACATTTTAGCTCGATTCACGGTCGTGTTCCGGACGTTCCGGTATTTCTTTATATTAGGTAAATTTTAAAACAGGCGTGATGAATTATCATAAATCATTATTACTATACAATCCTGTACATCGTCGAAACGCGATTGTTTCAAACACGTGAATTTCATTCGTTCGGAGTAAACAGTATTTTTTTTTGTAAATTACATTCCGATAAAGGGCCATGAGGTCGATAAATTATAAATCCCCAAATATGTGATATGATATGTGATTATTTGTTTAATGATACCACTTATTATCGGAGGACCTCCATTATAGTGTTGTACAATTTATTATAGTTCCCAAATTTGAGCAATGCGATAATAATATTTTCTTCAATAACGATATCTATTTTAACGTTCTAAATTACTTAAAAATATGTAATATAATATAATGATATCACTGACGTACCGGGTGATACATTTAAAGTAAGACACTAATTATTTCAAAAACTATTAATGTACCTGAAAAAATATTTTTTCATATTTAATTTCAGGTCACTAAAAACAAAACTCTTCTAAAAAAATGTATGTTATTCTATTTTTCATCTTTAATTTTTAATATTTTTTAGACAACATGCTTTTTTAATTCTTCAAACAGAATATTTTTTATGTTCTTTCGATGTATATAAATCGAATTTTGGACTAGCTAATTAGTTATAAGTTATAAAAGTTTACATGAGCCAAGAGTTTTACAGCCGTGCATGGGGTACTTCTCAAAATGTTAGTGCGCTACTCAGTTTGTATACATTTTAAATACATATTATAAGGATATCAGTTATAGCTAACCACTACAAATCACCAATAAACTACTTGCCCAAAATTTGATTTGTATAGATCGAAATACTCCGAATAAAATTCCGCTTAGAATACGAAATTATAAATGTAATTACCTACCTACTATTTTGTTATTCAAAAGAGTAAAAAATGTACAAAATTAAAACGATACAAAATAGTATCGCATAATATATCTTACGTTAAACAGATCATCCCATATACGACTGTATAACTTATAATTGTTCCCGGTATTAAATAGAAAAATTAATTAACGTTTTCAGTAATAATATTTTAACCATTCTTAACGCATATTATGTATTTCTTTATGTCTACACTTCTACATATTATATTATAATAAATAAATTATAATAAACTGTGATGACTACAAGCTCGTATAATATATTGTGCGACAGTTTAAAGTGTTTTTAACGCATTTGCTTGATTCGCATCGGTATAGGTTCATGTAGCTATTCACAAAATGTCATTTTTCAAGGATATTTACCGCTTTTCCCGCACTAGGCGCTAGCGCAATATATGATGTTATTGCACCACATGACGTCGTCGTGAAATGCGTAGGAGCGGCTCCGCGTTCACTTTTGTTTTGCACATAATATAAAGGATGGTAAAATCACTATGGGCAGCACTAATTTTTTTTAGGTTTAAATAATAAAATATTAAAAAAAATTTTTTTTGAACTTTTAACTCGTTTTTGGATTTTTGTGCAAGAATAATATCGAATTTATTTCTTGTTCACCCTTATTATTGCCATCTATATGACGAATATACATTATACTGCCATTTTTTATTTTTATGGAAAACAAAGCCATGTTTATATAATACCTATTGGAGCGTTTAAAAAGCCTAATAAAATGAAATAAATAATATATTTTATGAACATCGATTGGTGATAGATAAATGTATTGCTTTTAACTATTTAAATATAATATTCTTATAATTTTGTTAAAATGTAACCTAATTTACTTCCGCCTGTACCTAACAGCGACCAGTGTCCTTCAACTACTAACGACAACTGTTGCAATGATATTGTACACACGAGCGGGACTCTTTTCGCCCAAAAATGACCTTTCGCTTTTTTATTTTTAATATTTTAAAACTACTTTTTGCCCAAGAATATTATAGCACTTTCTTATCACATTTTTATAATACACGATTTAGGAAACCCTTACTTGAATCCATTTAGAATTACCCATTGAATACCACGAGGAGGCGGCTTTTATTACTCTTCAACAATGTATTGTGTATTTTCTGCATTTAATGAATTTAAATATACATTAAAATAATTTTTATAAAAATTATAAATCGTCAAAATATAATTATTAAATTTATAATTTATAATAATTAAATGCCATTGATTTAATAAAATCATCCCGATTGATTGTTCCTGATTTATATTATTGTATTTTCTGCTCATTTTTTCACTGTCGGTCTATACATTTTTATCTTTAGGACAAGTTTGTAAATGAACACTGTTTAATTGAATGTAGATTTCAATTTGAATTAAATTTATAACACTCAACCAGGCACAGACCATTGTAGACATATACTGGACATAAATTATTTCAAGTGTTTCCCAAATTGTGTATTTTAAAAATGTGATCAAAAATTACTACAATATTCTTGGGCGAAAAAAGAAAGTAGTTTTAAAATAAATGGGCGAAAAGCGATAGGTCATTTTTGGGCCAACAGGATTTTGCCCAGTACACACAACACACACATCATAATATTTTAAAACCATAGGTATATAAATTAAACGTTACAATTTGACAAACCCGTGGCCAAAAAAATCGACATTGACCCGTATTTCAACAATGTTTTCCGCCATTTTTAATTTTAATTTCCCCTATAGTAAGTATTTCCATATTATCGTCAATATTTCTAAATGTTCACTTTGGTAGAGTGACATTTTTACGTTGAAATGGAACTTTTAAAACTTATATCTGGCAAATTACATTTGTTCATTTTATTTTTATTTGTTTGTTTTCTTAAGTGCTGCGACTGTTACTTTATACAAAAACTATTGGTTATGTGTCATGTGTTATTAGATTTTGCACGCCAAAAGTGACACGTATGTCATTCGTATATATACTGTATAGTAAATAGTAATAAATAGTGTTCAATATTACGATATATAAAATTATCTCTTAGCGTAAAGCTGATTTCCATTATAAATTACATGAAAAGTCTTTTATCCAAATATTTTGTTCTCTGAAGTGCTATTCTGGAATATAATATA